AGAAATTAAATTATAAGTAAAACTATGAACAAAAAGAACATTGGAATGGCATAAGTGGGAAGAGATTTTAATATGGCCCATATGGGTAACTTGAGCCATTGAACCTGTGGGCAATGTGAGAAATTGAGAATGGGCCAAAACACCATGGGCCTTGGATAAATAATTAGTGTAGGCTATATGGGCCGAAGCCCCTGTATCTATTATCCAAGGAATTTGGGGGGAAATGGAGGAATCGATCCCGGAGAAGGCAGAGATGGAATTGGCCCTGGGCTGCAAGAGTTCCATCAATTGCCTATAGTGCTCGTCAGAGAGGCCAGGGATTGCACTCGAGGAGGGAGGAATTGAAGTTGTAGACACCATATTCGCTGTGAGGGGCCGATTACGGACCGGTGCCTGAGTTTGCCATGGATTTTGTTTGGCTCTGTTTGTATTCCAGTGAGCTGGGTATCCAATTATGGAAGATGTAGAATCAGACATTGTGATAGCCTGTTCAATGTTTCCAGAACTCAATGAAGTCGGAGGAGGTCGCAGGAAGGGGATAGCTCTGATACCATAATAAATTCTGATATGGAAGAATATTATCAATGGAGAAGAAGATAATTCATATTCATTCCTCACACACGGTTACAGCGATTTGTGAGTACATTTATATGTAAACTGTAAATCTATACATGGTAAATGAAACTACAAATGGAAGCAAATTATATATGGTAAATTCGTCCTTGCTGTAATCACGCACTGGAATTCTGCTTGCTGTAATGCTGAGATTCTGCTTGCTGTAATAAATCTATTCTCATCAAGCCAAAGCTATGATATTGACCTATTAATTTACATTCTTTTATACCATTTGTTAAAGAAATAACAATTATAATGATCGTTTATCACTAACAAATATAATGTGTGGTATTATATATTAGCTTTCAGACGTAGATTATTGATGAAATTTTCAGTGATATTATTTCTATAAATATTGTAAAATGGAATTATGTACTTTATTTTTTATTATTATTATTATATATATCTTAGAAACATTTTTTATTTCAAGTTTTAGACAATCTTTGCTATATCCATGCGGTTAAATATTGAATTTTCAGAATAATATAAGTTTAATTGTCTTAAAAACCTACAAGGTTGTTGTGTTGGTTCTATTAGTACTTACGTGGCTTATATTTTTATTATCTCATCTAACATTTTGACCTAAAATGTCTTCTCGTTCTTCTTTTAGAGGAATCAAGAGCTAATGAAAATACAAGAATTGCTGCAGAAAAAGTTTAAGGAAATTGAAGAAAGGTACAACCTTTTCTTTCTCCATTTACATGTAAATTT